AAAGAAGAACAAAAGCAGCCCATAGTCAGTAGAATAAAGAAAATAATAAAAATTAGAGTAGAATTGAATGAAATAGAACAGAAAGGCTATACAAACTGCTAATGGAACAAAAAGCTTGTTCTTTGAAAAGATTAATACAATGGACAACCCCCTAGCTAGACTCACTAGGAAAAAAAAAGAAAGGACTCATATCAGAAATGAAGAGAAGTTACCACACACATCACACAAATATAAAAGATCGGCCCTGGCCAGTTTGGCTCAGCGGTTAGAGCGTCGGCCTGCGGTCCGGAGAGACCCGGGTTCGGTTCCCGCTAAGGGCACGTACTTCGGTTGCAGTTTGTCCCCGGCCCTGGTTGGTCGTGCGGGTGGCAGCCACTCGATGTGTCCCTTTACGTCGATGTTTCTCTCTCTCTCTCCCTTCCTCGCTCTCCCTCCCACTCTATCTGTACAAAAAATGGAAAAATATCCTCGGGTGAGGATTTAAAAAAAAATAAAAATAAATAAATAAATAAATAAAAGATCGTATTAACTATTATGAAGGACTGTATACCACCAAATTCAACAACCCAGAAGAAATGCATAAGTTCCTAGAAATATGTAACCAACCTAGACTGAATCCCGAAGCACTAGAAAATCTAGTCTAATCAACAGTGAGGAAATGGAAACAACCATCAAAAACCTCTTAAAAAGTAAAGTTCAGGACTAGATGGCTTCACCAGAGAATTCTAGCAAAAAAGAAGATTTGAAACCTATCCTCAAACTCTTCCAAATATTTGAAGAAGAGGCAACACCTCCTAACAGATTTTATGAGGTCAACATAGCCCTGTTATAAAAACCTGGTAAAGATAATGTACAAGAAAAGAAAATCACAGAACAGTATCACTGATGAATACAGATGCAAAAATCCTAAACAAAATACTAGCAAATCGAATACAACAATACATTTTAAATAATACATTATGATCAAGTAGTGTTCACTCCAGGGGCACAAAGATGGTTCAACATATGCCAGTAGATCAGTGTAATAAACCACATTAACAAAACAAAGGATAAAAAGTCATATGATATTCCCCTGGCTGGTTTTGCTCAGTTAGAGCGTCGGCCCCCCAACCAATGAGTCGCAGGTTTGATTCCAGTCAAGGGCACGTACCTTGGTTGCGGTTCATCCCTGGCCCTGGTTGGGTCGTGTGGGAGGCAACCAATCGATGTGTCTCTATCACACTGATGTTTCTCTCTGTCTGTCTGTCTCTCTCCCTTCCCATTCTGTCTGGTGATAAATAGAAAAATAACCTTGGGTGAAAAAAAAAAAAGTCATATGATATTATCAATAGATGCAGAAAAAGCATTTGATAAGATATAGCATCTATTTATGATGAAAACATTCAATAATATGGGTATAGAAGGAAAGAAACTCAACATCATAAAGATAATATATGACAAACGCTCAAGTAATATTCTACTCACTGGTGAAAAACTGCAAGCTTTCCCTCTGAGACCAGGGACAAGACAAGCACGCCCACTCTCACCACTGTTATTCAACATAGTACTGGAAGTTCTAGCTTGAGGGAAAGAGAAAGAAATAAAAGAAACGCAAATTGGTAATAAGGAAGTAAAAGTGTTAATATTTGCAGAAGACATCATTTTTTCTATAGAAATCCTGAAGACTCCATCAAAAAACCATTAGAAACAATAAACAAATACAGTAAAGTTACAGGATAGAAAATCAGTATACAATAATCCACTGCATTTTTATACATTAACAATGAAATTGAAGAAGAAGGATTGAAAAAAATTCATTTTGCAATTGCAACAAAAAGAATAAAATACCTAGGAATAAAAACACCAAAGGATGTGGAAGACCTATATACTGAAAACTACAAAGCATTAATAAAAGAGATTGGAAAAGACACAACAAAATGGAAAAATATTCTGTGTTAATGGATTGGAAGAGTCAACATAGTTAAAATGGCCATATTGCCCAAAGCAATATACAGATTTAATGTAATCCCCACCAAAATCCCAATGACATTTAAAAAAAAGAACAAAAAAAAAATCAGATTTATATGGAATCACAAAGACTCCAAATAGCCAAAATAATCTTGAGAAAAAAGAATGAAGCTGGAGGTATCACACTACCTGAATTAAAATTAATCTACAGATCTATGATAATCAAATCAGCATGATACTGGCATAAAAACAGACACACAGACCAATGGAACTGAACTGAGAGCCCAGAAATGAACCCACATGTATATGGAGCCAAAAACATACAACAAAGAAAGGAAAGCTGGAAAACTGGAAAGCCACATGCAAAAGAATGAAACTAGATTAAAGTTTGTCCCCACAAAAATGAGGTATCACCTCACACCTGTCAGAATGGCTGCCATCAACAAATCATCAAACAACAAGCGTTGGTGAGGGTGTGGAGAAAAGGGGACTCTAGTACACTGCTGGTGGGAATGCAGACTGGTGCAGCCACTATGGAAAACAATATGGTGTTACCTCAAAAAAGTAAAAATTGAATTGCCATTTGACCCAGTGATCCCACTTCTAGGAATATACCCTAAGAAACCTGAGACACCAATCAGAAAGAATGTTTGTACCCTTATGTTAATAGCAGCACTATTTACAATAGCTAAGATCTGGAAACAGCCCAAATGTCCATCAGTAGACAAATGGATAAAAAAGCTGTGGTACATATACACAATGGAGTACTATGCAGCTGTAAGAAAGAAAGATCTCTTCTCCTTTGAGATGACATGGAGGGACCTGGAAAGTATTATCCTAAGCAAAACAAGCCAAACAGAGAAAGACAAGTATCATATGATCTCACTTATTTGTGGAATATAATGAACATAACAGTCTGAGGAATGCGGTAGGCCCAGAGACGTGGAAGTGGGGTACAGAGTGACAATCCCCAAAAGAGGGGGTGTTGGGGGAGAGATAAACCACAGAACTTATATGCATGTATGCATGAACAATGGACATGGACAACAAAGCTGGGGACAGGGTGGGAAGGGGGAGGGAAGGGGGAATTAGTGAGGGGAAAAGGAGAAACATCTGTAACAAAAATAAATAAATAAATTTAAAAAAATAAATAAAAAGGAAAAAAAATAAAGTTTGTCCCCATGTACAAAAATGAATGAAAAATGGATCAAAGATCTAAGTGCTAAACTTAGGAACCTTGATCTCAGAGATGATATTATAAACTTGACTCCAAAGGCAAGGGGAAATAAAAGCAAAAACAAATGAGTGGGACTATTTCAAAGTAAAAAGTTTCTGTATAGCAAAAGAAACCATCAACAAAACAAAATGGCAACCATTTGAATGGGGGAAGATATTTGAATACAACAGCTCTGACAAGGGGTTAATATTTAACTCATAAAACTCAATACCAGACTGACAAATCAATTAAAAAGTGGACTGAGGACCTGAACAGATGCTTTTTCCAAGAAGACATTCAAATGACCAATAGCGCCCTGGCCGATTTGGCTCAGCGGTTAGAGCGTTGGCCTGCGGTCCAGAGAGACCCGGGTTCAGTTCCCGCTAAGGGCACATACCTTGGTTGCAGTTTGTCCCCGGCCCTGGTTGGTCGTGCGGGTGGCAGCCACTCGATGTGTCCCTTTCACGTCGATGTTTCTCTCTCTCTCTCTCTTCCTCTCTCTCTCTCTCTCTCTCTCTCTCCCACTCTATCTGAACAAAAAATGGAAAAATGTCCTCAGGTAAGGATAAAAAAAAAAAAAAATAGCCCTGGCCAGTTTGGCTCAGCGGTTGGAGCATTGGCCTGTGGACCAGAGAGTCCTGGGTTCGGTTCCCGCTAGGGGCATGTACCAAAAAAAAAAAAAAAAAAGACCAATAGCTATATGAAAAGATGCTCAACTTCACTAGCTATTAGGGAAATACAAATTAAAATTACACTGAGATACCACCTCACACCTATTAGAATGGCAATTATCAAGACAGGTAATAACAAGTGTTAAAGAGGTTGTGGGGAAGAAGGACCCCCACTCACTGCTGGTGGGAATGTAAACTGGTACAGCCACTGTGGAAAACAGTATGGAGGTTTCCCAAAAAACTAAGAATAAAGTTATTATATGACCCAGCACCCCTATGTTTATTGCAGCGTTATTCACAGTGGCCCAGACATGGAGACAACCAAAGTGTCCTTCAATATATGATTGGATAAAGAAAAAGTGGTACATATATACAATGGAATGGTACTCAGCCATAAGAAAAGATGAAATACTGCCATTTGTGACAACATGAATGGACCTTGAGAATATCATGCTAAGCAAAAGAAGTCAGAAAATGTTAAGAATCATGATTTTACTCATCTGTGTGATATAAAACTGAAAGTAACAAATGAACAAACAAGAAAAACAAAGAAAACTCATAGACACAGGCAACAGTATGGTGGTTACCAGATGGAAGGAGGTGTTACCAGTAAAGGTTAAAGGAGGTCAAATATAAAGTGATGGAAGATGATCTGACTTGTGTTGGGCACACAATGCAATATGCAGATCCTCTATCATAAAAGTGTGCTCTTGAAACCTCTATAATCTTATAACCAATGTCACTGCAATACATTTAATTAAAAATTAAAGAAAAGAAAAATGACAATATTAAAAGATTTAAAAAAAATTTTTTGTTGGGAGGGGGTGTTGTATGTGTGTAAGGTGACTGTTTTTTCCAGGATCAGCAGTGATTTGTCTTTCCAGCTGCTATGCTAATTCTTCACAATATGAACTTAAGTGGGACACATTTAAATGCTTCTGTTTGAATGAAAATGAATATCAAGATGGAAGAATCAATCACAGGCTTCAGGTTTGGAAGAGAATGAAAGATCTTACTCCTCTAATTTTTTTTTTTATCCTTACTCAAGGACATTTTTCCATTTTTTGTTCAGACAGGGCGGGAAGGAGAGAGAGGAAGAGCAAGAGAGAAACATCGATGTGAAAGGGACACGTCGAGTGGCTGCCACCCACATGACCCAACCAGGGCCAGGGACATACTGCACCCGAGGTACATGCCCTTAGTGGGAACCGAACCTGGGTCTCTCTGGACGGCAGGCCGATGCTCTAACCGCTCTAACTGCTGAACCACACTGGCCAGGGCAAAGATCTTACTTCTCATCTTGTACCCCTCCCGCCCCAGCCCTCAGCTGTTCAATTTCTTTCTATACTCACTTTCCTTCAAGGGCTGGGCTAGCAGCCTCTGGTTAAACACCTTCATGAGGGACACATTTCTGCTATTTGAGCTGGCTATGAGAAAGGTCTTATTTGTTTTGAAATGAAATCTATTTCTTGTAGTTTTCACACATTAAGTATAGTTTGATCCTCCCACTCCACGCCCCTAACGCAATAAGTCTAATTATGTCTCTTGTACATGATAGCCTTTTAGTTATTTAGATACAATTATTGTGTTCCCTATTAAGACCTTATTCATTCACTCATTCGTTGCCCACAATACTCTGTGCAAGGTATAATGGGAGCAGTTAAAAAACGCAGTGCTCGCCCTGGCCGGTTTGGCTCAGCGGTTAGAGCGTCCGCCTGCGGTCCGGAGAGACCCAGGTTCGGTTCCCGCTAAGGGCACGTACCTCGGTTGCAGTTTGTCCCCGGCCCTGGTTGGTTGTGCGGGTGGCAGCCACTCGATGTGTCCCTTTCACATCGATGTTTCCCTCTCTCTCTCTTCCTCTCTCTCCCTCCCACTCTGTCTGTATACAAAAAAATGGAAAAATGTCCTCGGATGAGGATTAAAAAAACAACAACAAACAAACAAACAAAAAAAAAACAAAACGCAGTGCTCACAGTTGGATGTCAGTTTAGACACCAAGACTCTGTCTAAGATGTGCAGTCAGGAGGTTCACTGGAGAGTGCCCTTAGAAATGACAACTGAGAGGGGGAGCAGAGCAGGGATGGGAAGAGGGATGAGGTGACCTGCCAGACAATGGCAACAGGGGCCTCAGCAGATCTTAAGGGGAGCTCGGGGCTGGATGACCCATGCTTCAGAGCTATTTTACCTTGAGGCAAGGCGTTAAGGCCTTTATATCCGCTCCTTGTCTGGTCACTAAATAGGGACTGGGCCAGCTTTTCTCGCTGAGGTCGATTCCTTGAGACTCAGTTGGGAGCTGTTAACCACCTACACTCCCCTCAGCCTGGGGAATGGTGTCTCTCCCGCTGGAGTCTGAATGGTGAACTCAGTCACTCCCAGGGGAGACAGCTCTTCCCACATTAGAATATAATGAACCAAGTATTTTAATAGCTCCGTGTGCAAAGTGCCTGGGAGCAGAGACAACACCCAGGCCTGCCCGAGGAACCAGGGCAGCTTTCCAGTGTTAGCCTAAAAATAAGAGGCAAAGTGAGAGGCATCAAACATTTGTTTAAGATTAAAGAACAGCTCTTCAGGAAGCGCTGATTCAGGGGAAAACCCGATTAATGTTCTAGGCAAGGGGTAACATGAGAAAGGGAAGGGAAAGCAGTTCTGTTGGTGCAGACAGGCTAACCTAGAGACTAATTCTAAACATTTAAATTTCCATCTGGTAGTCATCAGTCCCTCAGACAATACTTCTTTCTTGTTATCTTTGCAAACAAGTCTTTGAGATACGCTGTTGCTTTAGGCCCAGTTCAAAGGTTATTTTGCCCTCTTTTAACATCTGAGGGTTTGAAGCATAAGGTCTACAAGGTCATTCCTCTGCTGGGGCAGCTCCAGCTGCATTTTAAAGTGGCTCTTGTTTGCACTGTTGTCAGCACCAGGAAGCTGAGGCTATGGAAGCAAGGGGGTGCTTGGGAGCAGCCTTTCGGCAGAACTGACAGACAAACACGCAAGTGTTCTTTGGCCCTGGGAAGGAGGAGCAAGGGGACACTAGTCCTGGTCTGCACCCCTTGGTGAATATTGTACCATTTGCCAGAATAGAGAACCTTGGAGGTGGGGGTGGGGGAAAATAGGTCAGTGCACTCTGATGAATTAAGAATGGAGACCTGGGACTGTAAGAACGGGATGGAGCTGAGTCACCAGGAAGTGCAGGTTTATTGAGGGAAATACCTGCTGGGCTGCCTCCACGATAGAGAGCAGCAGGCGTTGGTACAGACCAAGGGTTTTAAACGTAGGGCTGGGGTGGAGGGTTGCCCAGCCAGCCGAGGAGTCTCGGTTGTCCTTGATTGGTCGGGGCTGGGGTCTTTCCGAGAGTTGTTCTTCTCGTCCAGTGCTGTTTAGGTTTGGGTGGGGGTTCAGGATACTGCTCCGCCTGGCCGGAGCGATAAGCTTTGCTTTCCTGGAACAAGGGGCTTGGGGAGAGGTTAAACAATAAGAGGCTGGGGGTAGTAATATGGAAGTTAACGTTAACATTTCCCGACTCTTAGTATAAGTTGGAAGGTTAAAAAAGTTTGTGTTGATCGAAATTTTGGGTTGACCCCCAGGGAGGGCCTCTCGGGCAAGAGTGTTCTTCTGTGGCTACTTCCTGCTGATCTCCCTGTGGGTTGCTTTTCCTGGGGGGTCACCCTGGGTTAGAGGGGTGTAAGTTTGGAGTAGGAGTTGGTGGTGGGCTACCCTGGTGTGTTCAGTAACCCATGTTTGCAAAAATTTTAGGAAACAGGGAAGAAGCAAGAGGAGGAGACAGATAATTATCAATGGGCTGATGAGCAGGGCAATTATGTTAAAAGGGATTAGACCACCATTGGCTTAGAGGTGAGGGTTCCTCATGTCTGCGGTTACCGAGCCTCTCCTGTAATTTTCGGAGAGAGTTAATATTTTCCTCTACTATACCTGATTCGTTGATATAGTAGCAGCATTTTTCTTGGAGGAAAAGGCAGGTACCTCCTTTCTCAGCGGTGAGGAGGTCCAGGGCCCGTCGGTTTTGGAGGGCAACTTCTGCTAGGGAGGTGAGTTGTCGTTGTAGGGAGGCTAGCGAGGCTGCTGAGTTCTCGAAACCTCGTTCTAAATCAGCCTGGATTTGTTCGGTCATTTTAAGGCTGTGTCCGAGTCCGGTCCCCTCAATTCCTAGGGGTGCTACTGAGATGAAAAAGGTGAGGCCCACAAGAAATGGGAGGAAAATAGCCCGCTTCTGGCGGGGAGATTGAAGGATTCCAGCTACCTCATCCTCAGTGTAACATAGAAGCTGTGGGGCGAGGATTGCGGGACACATGGCCCGGAGAGGTGGCGTCGATGTGGTTGGTTAGAGTGTGGTTACACCAAAAGAAAGTTCCCCGAGGACTTGTAAAGTCAGAGGTAATTTTATGAGTTTGATTGCATGTCGGGTGGGAGATGTCCTTATAGTAGCATAGATTACAGGTGCTATTTGGGGTGTAAAAGGGCACGTGGTCTAGGGAGAATGAGGAGGCAGGCGGGTTTTAGAAGTGTTAAGGGATATGAGAGTGGGACTGCGGCCATCGGTGGTTGGTCTAGGAAGGCACAGAGAGAGCATTGAGAGGGCTCGACGTCTTGGGTTAGGTTTAGAATTAGGGCTCCTTTTCTTATTTTTTTTTTATCCTCACCCGAGGACATTTTTCCATTTTTTGTTCAGATAGAGTGGGAGGGAGAGCGAGGAAGATGAGAGAGAAAGAGAAACATCGATGTGAAAGGGACACATCGAGTGGCTGCCACCCGCACAACCAACCAGGGCCGGGGACAAACTGCAACCGAGGTACGTGCCCTTAGCGGGAACCGAACCCGGGTCTCTCCAGACCGCAGGCCAACGCTCTAACCGCTGAGCCAAACTGGCCAGGGCAGGACTCCTTTTCTTATTAAATCTAGCCATGCAAAGGGGGTCTGTTTGCTGGAAAGGTATTTAGTTAAGGAAGTTTCTTGGGTTAAGATTTTGTGGGTGAGGTCTTCCAGTTTTTGGACCATCGTCCTTTGCTGCACCCACTTCCGGCCGATGGACATATAGTATTTAGAGAATCCTCTTGTAAGTATTCCGTTTAGGCCTTTGTGCCATTTAGAGTCCCAGGGATCTCCGATGCTGAGGACCCAGGGGGCAGTGGAGGTAGTGTATTCGCGGTGAGTTATTTCGGTATCTGTTTTGGTAAATATAATTGTGTCTCCCCAGTAGAAAGATGACACTGTGCAAGGGGCAGAGGTGGTGAGGTGTGGCAAGACAGTCCTCGAGATTGTTGTAGGAGCACAGAGCCTCATCCCTGTATAGCTTGTAAGGTGGGATTGGTGTGCGATGAGTTTACGAGCCATCGGACAACCTGTCAAGGGGCAGTCTGTGGAAGCAATTATTCGGGAGGGAGGCCAGTAGAGAAGACACTGAGAAGGAATCTCCAGACGTGCGGCTCAGGCCCGGAGCCTGAGGGAGAAAGTGGTCTGTGTAGGGTGAGAGAGAAGGAAAGATCCTCTGGGCGAGTAGACAGAGAAGGAGAGAAGAAGAAAAGTCCGTTTCAAAGGGCTCGGGTTCCTGAAAGGCTCCTTGCCAGGTGAGCTCCTGGATCCAGGTGAGGAGTTCTGCTTCCGGACCGCGGGGTCTGGACCCGGCGATGTCTTCCACAATCCGAGTGAGGAAATAAAAGATCTTGCGAGCAGAGGCTGTGCATTGCTAGTTGAGTGTTGGTTATAGCGTGAGCTGCGAGAGAGTGTGTTGTCTTGAGCGAGTCTCACAAGAGAGTCTGATCGTGTTTTTCTGCAATCGGTGGACATGAGGAAATTTGAGGGATAGGGGACCTGTGGGAGTGGAGAAATAATTTTTAGGACTCTGTGGAGTGTACGGTTTAATTCCTGGGAGATGTGCCCAGTGAGAGTCCCTTCAGTTGACCGCCGTGGGAGTGGAGAGGACTGTGTGTGGGCCGGTCCAGACCGGCTGCAGAGGGTTTTTCCCGGGTTCGTTTATACACCTGATCTCCTGGCAGGAGGGTGAGGTGAACCTTGGTGGCAGGAAAAGGTTGAGGTAGGAGTTTATTTACCTCTGAGTGTAAATTGGACCTCATATAAGCCAATGCTGGGAAGTAATCTCCGATGGCAGGGTCGGGTTAGTTAGAGGACTGGAGGCTAGGACAAAGGCCTTCCGTACATTATTTCAGAGGGGCTTA